TATATATATATATATGTATATATATATGTATATATATATATATGTATATAAAAAAACAGGTTTATGCAGAGGCAGAGGAGCATGAAGCATAGCCAGGTAGTCTTCTAGGGAAAAAGATAACAGCTGGCTGGTCGCGAGAACCCTGCAGCTTAATGTTTGATGAGTCAAACTTGGCTGAACTCGGGCTGAATCTCTCCGAGCTGAGAACAAACAGAGGACAGAGTGGAGCAGGAGACCGTCAGCGTTCAGCCGCTCATCTTCACTCGGGGAACGGCATTCTGTTTGGAAGTCGTGCTTCGTCAGCATCCCGGCAGTTTACGGGAAGTGATGACGGGGCGATTATTCCACCAACAAAATTAAAATTGTCTTAAAGATAATGAGACGAATGTGGCCTCTGTGGAAGTGGAAGCTAATGAACTTGCACTGAAGCATTTAGAGAGCAATCTTGTATTCAATTTGTAGATGTTTTTTTTGTTGTTGTTGCTAAAAGCCCACCAGATTAGATTGGAATCTGACTCATCGGGTCAATTTAATAAAAATAAATCACTGTATCACTGCTGATCCTCGCAGGATGGAGGTCAGCAGCTGCAGGAGCCTAAAACTGAGCCTAAAGGATGTTGCTACTCCAGCAGCAAGACGGTGATTATTTCATCTTTCTGTGGAGACTTTCACTTGTTGGCCATCTGGCTCTTTAGCTGCTAAACGTGCCACTTTGGTAAGTATCTCTGCTTTTTGCTGCCTGTTTGATGAACATCTCTGGAAACGAGGCTGATGAGAGTTGCAGACCAGAAAACCAAAACAAAGGTCTGAAAGAGAGAAGACATACCCAGTGAAGTCTGACACAGACTCAATACGGAATAGACAACATTTCATGGATGGAAGCCGAGGCAACTACATGCTTTGCACACACATCACTGAGGATGATGTCATTAATTAAGGCCACTCACTAAAGTTTACACAATGCAACATCGATGGCCTGCAACAAAGAACTGCTCAGCTCACTCGGCTCTCTCTAACCAACCCGACACGGCAGAAGATGAGTCAGCTTTCAAACGACAGCTTCAAGTGAATATTTTTTAAGATTTGAGAAACCCCTCAAAGTGTTCCTGTTGAGGTTATCAGAGGTTCTCAAGTGTCAATCAAGGAGTCTCGGACCCCTCTAGACCCTCTGTTGTTTGCAAACTGGTCTTAAATAGAATATGTGATTTGTAGAGCGATGAAACGTTGATGGCAGTTTGTTTTTGTCTGGTGAACCCTTTGACATTGGACATAAGGATGTGTGTCGATAGGATTTTATCGATACGAGTAATCTTATTGATACTCTTATTGGTTCTTTTTGATTATTTTGTGAGAAAATAAGACATTTAATTAAGAAAAGAATCAACAGTTCTTCATTATTCTTGTATGTAAACAACAAGCAACACGTTCCAAAATCTTTAAACTACATTCTCAGCTCAACAATGATTTCAGGGATTATGTTTCATTGATGATCCTGTTCGTGTGATCAAACTACGTTTGACATCACTAACGTCTGACATCACTGACGTATGACATCACTTACGTATGCCATCACTACCGTTACCTGGCGGCTGCTCCACAAACAGATGTTCTGTTCTGCGTGTTGGTCACATGTTGTGATGAACTTACTTGTGAGGGTTTTATTGTGTTTGAGACGACCAGAGTTCTCTCTGATCGTGATGTGAGTCTCACGCTGTACTGAGACGAGACAAAGACAAAGAGACAGAGCGACAGCGAGACAGAGGGAGGACGTTTGAGATGACGACGTCTCGGTCCACAACTAAGAAAGTACAGATAGCAGAACCAGTAACTCCAGACTGCATCAATACTAACAGGTTTTACTCATTTAGAACCGGGTTTTGGGGCGTCCCTACTCAGATGTACTCATTTGACCTTCTATCAACATAAAGAAAAAGTGATTATTGTTTAGCATTAAGGATGATAATATTCTCTCAGCATGCCTCCCCAATAAGACTGTAAACCTCTGAGTCTGCTCCTCAATTAAAACAAAAATCCATAAGCGGTCACATGTCTTGTGTTGATGTCTCTCCACATGACAGGAACAATCCCATGTTTAATGAGCCTCGGAGCATCAGAGACTGATACTCTCAGTCGGTCCGGCGCTGAAATCACCGAGGACCAATTAGCATAATATAGTCTGGAATGGGACTAATAGGTTTG